CACACACACACACACACACACACACACACACACACACACACACACACACACACACACACGTGTATACAGTATATATAAAATGAAGTGAAATAATAAGTACTGTCGCAAATCCCACACTGTTGTCAATCATCTTTGCTTCACATAAGTATTAAGAGATCGGGGTGTGTTTGTGTCACTGTTTTGATTTGTTCTTTCCACTTTCCTGCATAGATTTTTTTGATAAAAAGATCTTGCTATGACTTTTGGCAGAGAACCAAAATATTTTTTCGAATGAGACACGTGGCATGAAATCCAGTAAAAGGTAAAGGTGCAAAGATCAGCACTTAGTATCTCAATGTATTTCACTGTTATTTATTTATTTGTTTATTTGTTTATTTATTTATTTATGTCATTTTTTTCTATTTTTAGACACTAATATCAGTAAACTGGGTGGATTACTTTAGCATTCATCGGAAAGTCTAAGTAGAAAAACAACAATTATGGCATCAGATTATGCATGTATTAATATTTTTTTTCATTAATGTCCTACTAAATCCATGTCCCTCCCTTCTGTTTGCAGTTTGTGTTACCATCACAAGAGTGCAAAAGCTTACATCTGGCAGAGAARACATGTTCAGCACTTTTACTTGTCATTAAGCATTTTTGTGAGCATTTTTAACTGTAAAACCCACCACTTCCATCTGCTCTGTCATGAGTATCATTACACAAACAAGAAAAAAAAMCCACATTTTTATCCCTTTTTACCCCGTTCACATCTTTCCATCACATTCCTGAATCCTTCCATTAGCCTCCTTTCTCCTTCGATTCACCCTCGACATCACTCTCGGTGATAACTGTGTGTCTCTCTGTCTCATTTCTTCTGCCACTGATGGTACCCTGTCAACCTTGACAGATGTGTTTCCACTAAAGGTGAACTATGAGTTTATAACTGCTGCACAGAAGGCTCCACTCAAAAGGTCATGTGTGAATGGACTTACCRGTAATAGAGTTGATATCATATATGTTTCCTGTCACTGCTGTACTTATACAAAAGTCTGCTCTGTAAGCTGCCACCAGAGATGTGCACAAGTCTTTTCTTGCAAGTCCAAGTCTTTGACCAAAAATCCAAGTCAAGTCTCATGTCTCTTGATTTCACGTCCATGTCTAGTTGCATGTATTTCTTAACTGGCAGTTTGATCAAAGGTATTCTAACTATACTAGATGATATTCTATAATACTATAGTTTAATAAAATATTAAAACATAGTAATATGTTTTAATAACACTATTAAAACATAATACTGTTTTAAAAATACAGATAAGGTTAAGGGTGAAATAACAATCAAGCATTTAGTATTGTTAACTGTATTTTGCACTTGTAGTCTTACTGTAATTATATTTTGCCATTGACAAGGAACAAATCCAACAAGTCCGTTGCTGATTTTACAATAAAATACCAGAAAATATATTTTTAAATGCATAAAAGCATGTCATTGAAGATGATGAACCAGAATCCTTAAAGTAAAAGGGCTGCACAAGTCATCACAAAAACAAATTTTGGATTTGGACTCCACACTTTGCATTTTGCCAGTCTCTTGTCATGGTGTTAAATAAAGTCTCTGTTAGCAAAGCTTATAATGAATACTGCAATGCACCTGCCATGCTGATGCTCTGTTTGTCACGTAGGGTACATGTCATTAACATTGGACAGTGCTGGCGCCTCCCATTCTCAGGTGAGCAGGAGCGGAGCGTATGGAAAAATTATTCTGACTTTAATCAACAGCGTATATTTTCAATTTGAGAGCAGGAGTAAAAGTCTTTGCTAAACTTTATGTATTTGTTCTCAAAGGAGCAGAGCATGGATGTGTATTGATGGAGTGAGAATCGTGAGCCAGGCAGTGAAAAGACATGCATTGTTCGCATGTCTCAAACCACAAGTCCAAGTCAAGTCTAAGTCTCTAATAGTAGGGACTTAAGTGTGATTCAAGTCCAAGTCACGAGTCCCCATCTCTGGCTGCCACTGACCTGTGTATAAAGTTGCCACCGAGGGTATTTTGATAAGTGTTGTAAGCAATATGAAGTTCCAGTGGAAAAGCATGCTTTCAGCGTGTGACTCACCTGTTTTATTTTTTCATCTTTGGCATCTTTCTTCTCCTGTGCTCAATTCCACACTCCTCCTCGTCTGCGTGCGCACATCTCTCCACCTTGAATCAAACAAAGACGTATTCAGTGGTTCAGAATTCATCACAACACATCAAAACACTCCTATGGTCCCCCCAGTGGCTAATGTGCTGGTCCATGTGCCATGTGCTCATGCTGTGCTGTTGATGTCTGTTCTTTTTTCTCTCTCTCACACACACTCTCTCTCTGCACTCACTTCTGACTGCACTGTTTCATTACTGTTGAAATGCTTGGGGATGGTGCAGAGCATAAATCTTCCAAAGTGAGAGAGATGTATAAAACCATTTCTGCTTTTAAGTTGACCCAAGGAAAAAAAAAACATGGACCAGACTGGTTGGATTAGAGACATTAAAATGTGTGCGCATAATCAGCTAAGCCCTGTTTTGTTTGGCTGCGAAAATCACAGCACCAACATGTTGAGTTTGATCCCAAAACCCCGCCTTCTGGGAAGCAGAGGACAGAACGAAAGGAGGGAGGGGATGTGCAGAATTTATTTTAATCCTGTTTGCGCTTACATTAATGTTGCATATCATGTCCTTGAGGTGTTTTGAAGAAAAAAAAAAAAAAGAAAAAAATGTTTTTTGTCTCAGTGGAATGACTTTTTATTGCTAAAAAGCAGAGTGAGTGAAAATCATCTTTACTCTTTTTGTTATCGCATCTATCAATAAGCTTGAGAATATAGCTTAATTTCTTGTAGCCACTAAAATCAAATAAAATGTCAAACCTATATTTCATTCAATGCTTTTTAAAAATCTAATTATATTGCTTGAAAGCTTTTATTTCCTTATGAGGAGAAGGTGGCACATGGTTCAGCATGGGGACAGAACAGATGGTGGTCTGTCCAAATCACCAGGTGGAAATGGAACAGGTTGCGCGTGTGYGCGCACACACACACRCACACAGGTCAAAGGGARGTCACTGTTACTCTAGGGGGCTTCAGGTCTCTCTCAGTTCACAAGGATGCAAGTATACAAAGTAGGATAGTAATGGAAATCTAGTGGAAAAAAAATACATGCATTTTACAAAACCCGMTTCTTCCTTTCAGGGTAACGGGGGTCACTGGTGCCCAAATCCAGCAGTCACTGTGTGGRGKGTGGAGGACACACTGGACATGYCACATATCCATARAGACAAATGAGACAACCATTCCAATTAGGTTAATTGGAAATAGGTGAGTTAGAAGACTGGGTATAAAAAATCATTTTCAAGAGGCTGAATCTCTCAGAAGTAAATATGGGTAGATACACCAGTCTGTGAAAAAACTTAGTCTAAAAATGATTTCAGAATACATATACAGATTTCACAACAATTTCAGAATATATTCCTCAATGTAAAATTAGTAGACTGTAAAAACGTAATATCTGCWCTGCAATACAAATAGGTCTGATTTTGTAACAAACATCTGTACATTGGGCTTAGAAATACTGTATATCCACCTCTATCTGTTAAAAAAAATTGAAAATATATTTTGTTGTGCTGTCCACAAAAGAAGGTAAAATTCAGTGATGCCGCCATGTTTCTGGGCCAAAGCAGATTTAAAAAGGACCGAGGTAAAATGGAAACAACAAAAAGTTTATATTTGGAGCTTAAACATAGTGATACCAATAATACACTGCATTTATGACAACATRTTAAGGTCAAACGTTTAAAATAAAAAGAAGACAGCTGCTTAGCTAAAAGAATGATTTAACATCTCCAGTAACACTTCCTCTCTTCCTTCTGTCAGTCGTCTTGCAGGGTGAGTTTTAATTTCACACTCTGCTGGGGAGAATAACACGCACACGTAAACACGTCACCTAAACACAGGTATAGAAACAGAAGATGAGATGGAAGGAGGGCTGGTTTGTTAAAAAAATGGATCAACATGAGTGTTCACGAAAGAGTAATTAATCAAGGAATGAGCATAAATTACATAAGATTTGCTGGTGTCACACCGCTACAACTTTTGCGTAACAGTTTTAATTCTCTTTGTGAAACTGAGCAGCCAAACAGAACGAAACCCAACTAAAACGTGAATTTACAAAAGTCTTTATTATATTCTTTTAATTAATTTGAAGATTTCAAGTGAGAAAATGTCCTGTGAACTGCAGCTCTGGATCATTATATTTGAATCACACATTTTAAATTATTCATCTGCACTCAATTAATATTCTACAGTGAATATGACTGACCTGACCTATCTAAAACAAGTAGAACTCGGGAACTAAGAACATGAAACAGAATAAGAAGAAAATGACATTAAACAAATAAGAGGGAAAAAATCCTCTCAGTCAAAAAATAAAGAAAGAAAGAAAGAAAACATCACATGTTTCAGTGTGATATTGTAATAGTCAAGAATCTCTTATAGCTCAATCAGTGGGCTAAGTGAAACATAAAATATGAGGGTATAATTGACCTCAGAATCAGGGTGTGGGAGAGGGAAAGTGCAGAGGCTGTACTGAAGGCTCCATCGAGGGATCCTTTGAAGTTTTGGCAGCTGAGGATGGATGGTGAATAAGCCTGTGGCCCTCTTGCATCAACTCTTCCAAGCCCCGGCTACGCTTGCTCCAAGTCAGCTGCAGCAYTGACTGCCTGCCTGCATGATAATCTCCACAAGTTGCATTTCACAGAACCATTATAAGTATATATATATATATATATCATTTCACAGAACCATTATAAGTATATATATATAT